GAAATAGCTATTGATAGTACTACTTCCCCTGCAACAGATGAATCAACTTCACCAGGGACTGAAGTCACCACCCCAGCTGTTGAAGCATCAACCTCTGAGCCTGATGCCTCGACCCCAGCAGATGAGTCCACCACTGGAGTTGTGGAAGCCGCCACTGCCACTACAGGGGCCACCACTATTACCACCACAGGTGGTAATGATGAGTCAGGAAAACCTGGTATCATAACCTGCCTCAGACATCTTTTAGCTCCGTCACCCTGAGCAGTCGTTCACCTTTCCACACCCCCATTTCCTTGTTTGTAAAATGAGACACTTTTAAGATCTTTTCCAGCTTTTAACATAGGATCCTATGCATTAAAATTAATCAAATGACCAACTGTCAATTGAGAAAATTATTTTTGAAGATTTCTTATAAGAAAATGATATTGAAACCAAAGAAGAAGATTCCAATAGTCCAACATAGAGTTCAATAGGGAATTTGGATATGAAGACAGAGAGGAAAGTGGAATGGTGACCATGTAGCCCCCAGGGCTATTTACAGGCAGAGAACATTAAGCACTTTCACTTAGTTGAAAGACCAGGATATAATGATAAGAAGGGAGGAAGTAGATCATTTTCATTGCTATTTATGAGATGATAGGAACAGTGGGCACAGAATCATCCTTGGAATCAGGAAGACTGATGACCAAATCTTGTCACTGACACATACTGATTGTGTGACCTATGGCAAATAACAACCCTCTTGTGCAGCTACAAACTTGCTACTTTGCATGGCTATAGGGAGTTTCCATACTTACACCCAATGAATCACAGGTCCACATCCCTCCCCACCAAAAAATACAAAGATAAAATAAATCTGACTTGGGCCAAATTAGGAGGTTGCTGTCGTTGGTAAGAAATGCTGTAGCTTGATCTTGATGATGGCTGTGAAAAGAAAGAAGATGGGACAACTCTTGACATGTTTCAAAGGAAGATGTGATAGAATTCAATTGGGGCTCTATTAGAAACCCAAATCCCTAAGAACTAGTTTTGGAACAAAAAATATAAAACACTTCATATTTTTGTAATGCATACATATAGTCAACAGAACTATTAAAGATATAGCCAGGGAGTCTTTCCTTCATAGCAAGGGACCACATATCTTTAATTGTATTTTTATTTTGCTATCAGAATGAATATGAGATACTAAAGAGGGGAAGATGGCAATAACATTGATGGCCATGGCAAAGTCCAAGGAGGATGATATCTTAAGAAACAATAGTTAATATTTATATTATGCTTTAAATTTTTCAAAATTCAAATTATTTTATTTGAGTTTCATGATAGCCCTTTGAAGTAAGTACCACAGGTATCATCACTACCACTTTATAGAAGAGGAAGGAACCCATGGTCACACAGCTTGCAAGTGTCAGGGATGGAATTCAAACTCAGATTTCATATGACTCAAAGCCAAGCGCTATCTATTAAAGCACATTTATCCTTCTCTAGGAAGAAAGGAGGAAAATATTTCAGTTTATATATGCTTAGATATTATGTTACACTATCCATATGGAGAGAGACCATGTGTTGTAATAGATAGCTGGCCTTGAAGTCAGGAAGACCTGGGTTCAAGTCTCACCTCCAACAGATACTGGCTATGTTATGTGACTTACCTTCCCAGGGCTCCAATGTGAGGGACTGTTTGATGCCAGCTACTGCCAGATGAGGGTTGTGCCAACGTGGGACGGAAACTGGGTACCAGAAAGTAACTGGAGCTCTTGCTCCCGAGGCAGAGGCGGTGCTGGGCAGAGTTGTAACATACTGGGATGAGATCTGGGGTCAGAGAGGTAATCGGAGCTCAAGCTCCCGAGATTGGAGCGGTGCTGGATGGAGCTGTGACAGGCTGGGGAGGAAGCGGGGTGCTGGGAAGTGGCCAGAGCACGCGTTCCCTAGGCAAGGACTGTGCCACTTGGAGGGGGATGGCAGAGAGCGAACTCTCTCTGCCTGGCCTCCTTCTTTGGGTACTATGCTGACCCCGGACACCTCCCCCCGGTATCTGGACCTGACTTCCTGAGTCACGTATGCTCCCTAGGTATAACACCGACCCCAGACACCTCCCCCCGGTATCTGGACCCGACTTCCTGTGTCACGTGTACTCTATGCACTAATCCCTCACGCCTCCTTCCAAATCTCTGGGACCCACTTCCTGTGCCACGTATGCTCCCTTTGTCTGGACACTAGCTGGACATCCCCTTTTTGATATTTGATCCTCCACGAGTCACTATGGGTGGGCTGAGGAGGAGGGACGAAGAAGGTACTGAAAAGAGCTGCAGGGAGGGGAGGGGGAGTTGGCTTTTGTTCCTGCCCGCGCGTGTGCCTTCCTGCCTGGCCTTGCTGTGATGATAAATGAATAAAGTTCAGGTTTTTGCACCCCCCGATCGGCTTGCTTCTGGCTTACCCGGGTGGCCTCCGATGTACGTGAGTATGACTCTGGTTGGCTGATTTGGTTGAAAGAGTGTGCGCGGTTTGGACCGGCACACTACAATCAACTCTTTAAGATGGCAAGTGATAGAGATAGTGCATGCTGACTCAGTGATAATACTAGCCAACATTTATTTAATGTTTGCAAATCTGTCTACAAATATCTCATTCTTTCCCTCAAAATAACCCTGAGAGATAGGTGTTATTATTACCCCCATTTTACAGATGAGGAAACTGAGGCAGGCAGACATTAAGTGACTTGCCCAGGGCCACAAAACTTGTAAGTATCTGATGATACTTGTAAGTATTCTGGTTTTCTTGACTCCAGGTCCAGCACTAAATCCAATGTGCCACTAGCTACCTTGACTTGCCTTAATAGGGAGAGGTTTTTTTTCCCACCCAGAAGTTTCCTATAACAATAAATTCATAGGTCCAATACCTATCTAGTCCTTACCCCCTTCCCACCAAGAAGGAACTATCTATCTCTGAGATATTTTACATAGAGAGAGAGTGAGAGGGAGACATATATATATCTGTACATACATAGAGAGACAGAGAGAGAGACAGACAGAGAGAGAGAGAGAGAGAGAGAGAGAGAGAGAGAGAGATTATTGTCCAAAGAATGTCCAATGTTTAGAGTAAAATAAAATGGAGTTGGTCTTATATGGCAACTAAGACAAGCATTATTCAAAGTAAATGTTGTTTACATGATCATCAGACTTACAATTGTTTTCTCTTTGATTCCTCCAGGTCGTCCTGAGCATAGACACTGAACTGTTCACTTCCTACCTACCTGTCAAGTATTTCTAGAAACAATCGTTGCCACTTCAGAGGCAAAAATCATTGTAGAGATTTGGGCTCTTCTCTTCTGTTAAGAAATTCTCTTGAGCATATCTATCTTCATTTCAACAGCTTTTGCCTATTTGAAAGCCACACACATGTTTGCTATGTGGGTTTGCTATAACTCTCCTAGGGACTGAAATAAAAATTAGTGTGTACATATCTCTATGAACTTGATACCACACAACAATGAAACAAACTATATAGACAATGTACTGAGGGGAAGCAGTAAGAATCATTTTTAAACAGTTTGTGTTTTGAGATCCTTTAATAGAATCTCAAAATGGTGTGCATGTGACAAAGACAGATGGATAAGCAGAAAGAGACAATGACAGAGAGTTTGAGAAAGATATGGAAGAGAAGAGAAGGAAAAGAGAGAAGGTGGAGAGAGGAGGGAAAGACAGAGAAAGAAGAGGAAGAGGAGAGGAGAGACACACACAGATAGAGCTATGGAAAAAGCCATTCAACCCAGCATCAAACACTGATTAAGCAAAGCATAATGCTAGAAACTGAGTAAGGAGCAAAGATAAGGAAGGACTGTTTCTGTCCTCTCTGTTGTTGTTCAGTCATTTTCAGTTGTGTTTGACTCTTTGTGAATTCATTTGGGGTTTTCTTGGTAAGACACTGAAGCAGTTTGCCATTTCCTTCTCCAGTTCATTTGACAGATGAGGAAACTGAGGCAAACAGGACTAAGTGACTTGCTAAAGGTCACACAGCTACTCAATGTCTAAGCCTGGATTTGAACTCAGGCCCTCCTGACTCCAGGGCTCTATCCACTGCTCTATCCACTGATCCACCTAACCTTCCTGCCTGCCCTCCAGGAGCTTACAATCCAACAGAGGAGATGAAAACATTTATACAGATAGCACAATGAGCAGTTGTCTTAAAGTCAAAAAACCTGGGTTGAATTCCTGACTTTAATGCTGACTAATGCAGGTCATTGTGAATTAGGTGGCTCTTCAATTACGTGATAACTTGAAGAAGTCCAATCCCTCTTCCACATCCATCCTGTACTTGTAAAATTTGATTTTTTTAACCCAAGTGTAAGAGTTGACATTTATTCCTATTGAATTATATCTTATTAGATTCATTCCAGTGCTCCAATCTGCCAAGAACTTTGGGCATCCTGATTCTGTCAACATATTCACACTCACTGGGAAGAGCAGAGCCTCTTAAGAAATGTGTATAGGGCATCCATACTTGATGAACTTGTGGGCATCCACATGTGGTAAACTCATCTACATGAAGGGATACACAGGCAAGGAACATGTTTCATCAGGGCTTGTGTAACCCATGCCAATGGTGCTGCCAAGTTGTCTATACCTTGTACTATCATCCTACTCCTTTCTGGTGGACTGCTCCACACAAACCTTTGGGTTTTTTTTTTTTGTTTAATTTGTCTAGATTTTTACCTTATCTTCTCCCTAGCAAGAAATCACAAAAGAAAATGGCCCAGAACGATTAGAACTAGAAGGTAAAATTAAAATAGAAGGAATCCATAGGTCACTGCCTGAAAACAATCTAAAATTTAGCATATCCTCAAATGTGATAACCAAACTCCAGATATTCCAGGTCAAAGAAAATATACTACAAACAGCCAGGAAGAAAAAAATCAAATGCCAAGGAATCACAGTCAAAAATCACACAAGATTATACAATGATTACATAGAGGTAAGAAAAACATGGAATATTATATAATAAAAAAGAATACAAAAAGGCTCGCAGGGTGGTTGCGGTGATAGGACCAACAAAATTGCTGATTGCGCATTTTCTCCAGATACCATTAATTCTCAAAATTAAAAAAAAAAAGAAATTAATCAACAGACGTAGAGCAATTACAGATGAATCCACGGGACAAAGAAGAGAAAACATCAACAAGATAAAGTCCTTATGAACTCACAGTCGAGAACATTAATCCTTAAAATATTCACTCAGAAACCTTCTCTTCACATGCATGGCAGGGACATACAAACTAAACTATACCTCTGTGCAGGGGCGCCATTGTAGAATTCTTCCTTCCTTCACTACTGCACTGACTGTTCAGGCACATGCCAGCCCTGCTATGTAGGAAACAAAGATTCTGCGCACCCATCTGAGGAGGAGGAGGAAGAACATGTTCAGCCTTTTTCCTGGGGCCACACCATACATTAGGGACTCCTACAACTTCAGAGACTCTCACGTGCACACCCTCCAAGTCTCCCTCCATCATGAAAAAAGAGGCAGATGCTGATTCAGCCTAGGCAGCGAAAGAAAGAGATGTGAGGGAGGAACTGGGGTAGGGGCCAGCATGTGTAACTTCTCCAGACCTGAAGAAAATGGGGGCTGAAATTGAGTCAAGGTCAGTTCTGTCTCCCCAGATGCTACTCATGGATCTAGACAGGTGAAACATAAATGTCCAATGTGGGAGGAAGCCAGGTCAGCTTTGCCACTCAGCCTCAGGGGTGCACGCACCAGAAAGGAGAAGTCACAAAGTGAGAGAAGGGGGGATTTAAGGGGAAAAGGTGGAAACAACAAAGATTTCAATTTTTTTTAAACCTACAAAATTCTAGTGTCAAAACATACAGACTAACAGAAAGAATCCTAAAACTAGAAAGGAAAGAATTTGAAGCCTTTAAAAGATTGCAAAACTCTTTTAACATATATTACAAGACAAAGAAAAGTGAATCATGCTCAATGAAATCTTGTTATTGTCTTTGTGGCTGTTCTTTGTCGTTCATTTTTGAAGAGGACCAAGGACATCAACGGGTGACATCTTGACTCGGGCATGAACTGGATTTCAGTGAGGCAGAGTTGCACAAAGGTCAGCCTCACTGTCTCCCAGAGTCCTCAAAGTCCAGTGGCAAGACAAAAGTCAGGAAGACAGGCAATGGCCTGGGATGCAGTGGATGACCTTGGGGTATTCAATGTCGAACCAAGCTCTATACCCTCCACAGCGCTTGCTTCGGTCGCCACCATGGCCATTGGAACAAATTGTTCTCATCTGCCCATTCTGCTGGGGGAGTCTTCACATGCCGGGAGTAGATACCCTTCTAATTCTCTGACGATTTTGAGGCCTGCTGGTTACTCTCCACTTGGTTCAGCCAGTCTGCTGAGATTGCTTTACCAGGGTGTGGACACTGCACATGCTATAGCTTCTTGGAGTCACAAGTGAGACCTGGGTAAGAGATGGATGCCAAAGGTGGGTGAGCAGCCCTAAAAAGAGCTCTGCAGGCCCTCTCACCAGAGATGCTAGTTTTCCCTGAACATCCCATACACTAACAAAATATCGAATCCTATGAACTCCCAAGACAGCATAGAACACACACACACACACACACACACACACACACAATATCCCAGGATGGTTCAAAAGAGAAATGATATTAATAAAAAATTAGGAATGAATATAAATCAGAACTCAGAGCTTTCAATGCAAAATAAAAAATAAAATAAACTAGATCAGTTTCACCAAAGAAGGGAAAGAAAGATTAATAGATTTGGAGTACAAAACTACTTAAGTGGAGGAAATCTAGCAAAAGAAAAGAAAAAGTCAGCATCGATAAAAGAACATGTGATTTCTAAACAAGCCAAAGCAACTGACCTTAAAGATAAGATACTTAGAAGTAACTTAAGGAGCAAAAGTCTCCCAGTCAGTCAGCTGAGGTGTCGAGTTCAGGAAGCAGCAAGGAGGCTGGTGTCACTGGTCAGAGTGTGTGGGCAGTGGGGTGTGAGGAGCAGGATGACTTGAAAGGTAGGAAGGGGTCAGGTTATGTGAGGTTTTAAAAGCCAGAGGATTTCAGGTTTCATCCTGGAGGTAACAGGGAGTCAATGGAGTTGATTATTTGGGGTGGGGGGATGACACGGCCAAACGTGCACTTTAGGAAGATCAGTTAGAATGCTGAGTGGAAGATGGACTGGAGTCAGGAGAGGCTTGCGGCAGGGAGAACAATCAGAAGGCTATTGCAATGGGGCAGTGAGGTGGCACAGTGGAGAGTGTGTGGAGCCCAGAGTCAGGAAGACTTGTCTGGCCGGAGACAGTCATTAGCTGTGTGATCCTGGGTGAGTCACTTAACCCTGTTTGCCTCAGTTTCCTCCTTTGTAAAATGAGCTAGAGAAGGAAATGGCAAACCACTCCAGGATCTCTGCCAATAAAACACCCAAATGGGTTCATGGAGAGTTGAATACAACTGAAAAAAGACTGAACAACAACAAGGTTGTGGAGGTCTGCATGAGAGTGGTGGCAATGTCAGAGGAGAGATGTTGTGAAGGTGGAGATAACATCTGGCAACTTATTTGGGGCAGGGTGAGGTGACAAAGTGAAGAGCTGATGATGACATCTAGGTTGAAAGTCTGGATGACTGAGAGGATGGTGGTACTCTCCACAGTAATAGGAAATTTAGGAAGAGGAGAGAGTTTGGGGAGAAAGATAATGGACATGTTTTGGACATGTTGAGTTTAAGACGTCCAAGAGAGATATATTTTGAAACGTCTAATAGGTAGTGAGGAATACAAGACTGGACATCAGGAAAGAGGTCAGAGATGGATAAATAAACTAAAGGATTATCTGCAGAACAATATTAGTTGAAACCACAGGAGCTAATGAGAAGACCACATGAAATAGCATTTAGAAAGTAGAGATGAGGGCCCAAGAAAAACGGCAACACTATAATGCAGAAAATAACAAGAAAATTGTCCCAGATCTTCTATATACAGAAAACAAAATGCCAATTGAAAGAAGACACAGAGTGTCAACAGAAAAATAAACAAAAAAACCCTGTTTTAAGCCCCAAGATATATAGTGTTTAAAATAAATAATTTCAATGATATACAAAATTTACATGGGGTTAAAAGCAAGACCTTCAAATATAAAGGAAATGAAATGTGAATAACAACATTATTCTGCATCTACAATAAAGGGCAGAAAGGAACAGGACAGAATACTCCCAAAGACACAAGAACTAAAGCTTTAACCCAAAATGATATAACTTGCAAATCTGAGACTAATCATCTTCTCAATCATTCACAGGATGTTTCCTCTGTGCCAACACGTTTTAAATAGTGGCCAAAAGCAGTATGATCCTTTCAAATTAAGGACTTGTATATAACTTATGATGAGCTTATAGGGAAATTCTTCACTACATAGTTTGCTTTGTTGATTGATTTGGGGGGTTTAGCCATTGCTTTACATAATAATTTGAGTAAAATTTGCAAAGCAGAGAAAACATCGACAAACAGGAGACATAGGACAGCCAGTGGAAATGGAGATGCTTCAAAAGACGTATGCAAAACTAATTATAGGCACAAAGTATTGACTAAAAAAAAGGAAGGAGATCTCCAAAAACCTAAGATATACAATTTCTCACAACTGACCCTCGATCGTTCCCTCGTCCGGGGCATATCTGCTTTGGTATTCTGAGAAAAGCAGCGGCCGATATGGCAGGCAGGAAACGATGGATTTTGTCCTTTCAAATACCACTTGTTGCCCAGGAGTGGAGAAGAACATACGTTGCCCTCGACAGCACTCGCTGCAGAGGAGGAGAAGGAGAAGAATGAGAAAGTGATCTATGATAGAGAACTGAGGACGAGGCTCTCTCCATTCACAAAAGGGAGGGATGTTTCACCGGGGTCGGAAAGTTTAATGTTCTGAAAAGGCTCAGAAGGATTTTCATGTATTAAAATAGAGAAACATGAGTGAGAAGAAACAGAGTTTCAAGAGCACCAAAGAGAACCACTACCTTGCTGGATATTTAAGAGTACACAGGTACACATACATACACATACATATAGAACATATATGTATATATTTTATGATGCCTAGATTAACAGAACAAGGAATAGGTCATTGAATTAACCCAATCTCAGAAAAAAATGAAATGTCATAAAAGAACTCCCAAGGTAACAACAAAAACTAAAACCAAAAAAAAAAAAAAAAAAACCAACTACCATATGGAGGTACAAGCAAATTCCATTAAACATTCAAGGAGATAAATAAATATTACATTAAAAAAAATCAGGAAAATACCTACCAAACTACTTCCAAAGGATAAGCATTGAGTCCTGATGTCAAGCCTAGAAAGATATAAAGCAGAGAAAGAAAACTTAGAGAACAATATCTTTAATGAATATTAATACAAAACTACTGAAGAAAACATTAGCAAAGAGACTACAATAACATATCAAAAAGATGATATACTTTGACCAAGTTGGCTTTATATGAGACATGCAAGATCACTTTGATATTGAGAAAACTACAGAAATAACAGAACATCTTAATTACAAAAACAATAAAACCTCAAGAATATAGCAATAGAAACAAAAAGTGCTTTTGAAGAAGTACAACCCCACTTTACATTAAAACACACACACACACACACACACACACAAATTAAAAAGCATAGGAATAGATTTCGAGCCAAAAATGGTTGCCCAGATGGACTCTATGAGACATCAAGAAACAATAAGGCAAAATAAAAAGAATGAAAACAGAAGAAAATGTGAATTATCTAATTGGAAAAACAACTGAACTGGAAAATAGATCAAGGAGAGATAACTGAATAATTATTGGACTACCTGAAAGCCATGATAAAAATAAAGTCGAGACATCATCTTTCAAGAAATTATCAAGGGGCCAGCTAGGTGGCACAGTGGATAGAGCACCAGCCCTGGATTCAGGAGGACCTGAGACACATAACACTTACTAGCTGTGTGACCCTGGGCAAGTCACTTAACCCCAGTGCCCAACCAAAAACAAAACAAAACAAAACAAAAAAAGAAATTATCAAGGAAAACTGCCCTAGATGCAAGAACCAGAGGGTGAAATAGAGATGGAATGAATCCACCAATCACCTCTTGAAAGAGATCCCAAAATGAAAACTCCCAGGAATATTATAGCCAAATTCAGAAAAAATATTGCAAGCAGCTAGAAAGAAACAATTCAAATATCATGAAGCCACAGTCAGGATAACACAAGATTTAGCAGCTTCTACATTAAATGATCAGAGAGGTTGGAAGATGATATTCCAGAGGGCAAAGGAGCTAGGATTACAAAACATGGATATTCAATGAAATAGAAGACTGTCAAGCATTCTTGACGAAAAAAATATAGGTGAATAGAAAATCTGACTTTCAAATACAAGACTCAAGACAAGCGTAAAAAGGTAAAGGTAAACAGGAAAGAGAAATCATAAGGTATTCAATAAGGTTAAACTGTTTACATTTTTACGTGGGAAGATGATACTTGTAACTCCTAAGAACTCTATCATTATTAGGGCAATTAGAAGCAGTTGGCATAGACAGAGGGCATGAATATGAGTTGAATGTGATGGGATGGTTTTTTTAAAAATACCATTTAGACATGAAAAAGAGGAATGAAGTAGAAGAAATTGAAAGGGAGAGGTATAATGGGGTAAATTATCTCACATAAAATAGATGGAAAAGAGTTTAAACAGTAGAAGAGAAGAAGAGAGAGGTGTGCATGTGGTTGGGGGGGAGGGCTTGAACCATAATCACATCTGAATTGGCTCAAAGAAGGAATAACATACACACTCAGTAGTGCATAGAAATCTATCTTACCCTACAGGAAAGTAGGAGGAGGAGCAGATAAGAAAAGGTGAAGGATCTGATAAAAGGGAAGGCAGATTGGGAGAGGTGGTAGTCAAAAGAAAAACAATTTTGAGGATGGACAGGATGAAAGGAGAAAGTAGGATAAATGGGGGAAATAGAATACAGGGAAATACATAGTAATCATAGCTGAAGTTTTATAGCAAGTTTCTCTTAAAAAGGCTTCACTTCTCAAATATACAGTGAACTCAGTCAAATTTATAAAAATAAGAGCCATTCCCCAATTAATAAATGGTCAAAGGATACAAACAAGCAGTTTTCAAATGACAAAATCAAAGTTCTTTATAGTCATATGAAATAATGTTCTAAATCATTACTGATTAGAAAAATGTGAATTAAAACAACTCTGAAGTATCACCTATCAAATTAGCTAATATGATAGAAAAGGAAAATGGCAAATGCTGGAAGGGATATGGCAAAATGGGGACACTGAGGCACTGCTGGTAGAGTTGTAAACTATTCCAATCATTCTGGAGAACAATTTGGAGCTACACCCAAAGGTCTGTAAAACTGTGTATACCCTTTGATCCAGCAATATCACTACTAAGTTTATATCTCAAGAGATCAAAGGAAAAGTAAAAAGGACCTCTTTATATAAAAAATATTTATAGTAGTTCTTTTTGGTGGTGACAAAGCATTGGAAATTGAGGGGATGCCCATCAATTGAGGAATGGCTGAACAAGTTGTGATACATGACTGTGATGTAATACTATTGTGACAAGCAGGATGCTTTCAGAAAAACCTGGGAAGTGATACAAAGTGAAGTAAGCAGAACCAGGAGAAAGTATATTGTACACAGTAACAAAAATAACACAACGTTAAGCAATTGTGAAAAACTTAACCACTCTGATCAAGACAAAGATCCAAGACAATTCCAAAGGACCCATGATGAAAAATGCTATCCACCTCCACAGAGAGCACTGATGACCTCTGAATGACGATTGAACCATACTTTTTTACTTTCCTTATTTTTCCTGTTTTTTTCTGCATGTTTTCTTTTGCAACATGGCTAATATGAAAATATGTTTCGCATGACTTCATGTATATAATTGATATATTGCTTGCCTTCTCAAGGTATGAGGGAGGGCAGAAGAGAGGAGAATTTGGAACTAATTTTTTAAAATGAATGCTAAAATTTTTTTGCAGGTAATTGGGAAATATCTGATTAAATAAATATATATTTTAAAAGAACTATGAAAAGTAATAACAAAATTCATCTGTAGATTGAAAATCTCAAGCAAAGTAATTTTTAAAAGTAAGAAGGGGCATAGAAGAAGCAGATCTCAAATTGCACTGCAAAGCAATAAGCTTCAAAACCACTGAGAACAGTTAAATATATGTGTTTCTATGTATGTATGTATAAAAGTTAACTAGTGGAACAGATTAAATACGAGACTGAGAAGCAATCACACATAGTGTCCTATTGTTCAATAAAAACAAAGACTCCAACCTTCAACTACTGAGTGAAGGACAAAACTATTTGACAAAAATTCTGGAGAAAATGTAACAGAAATTTAGACTAACATCTCACACAATATGACATAATAATCTCAAAATGGAAATTCGACCAACATAGGTTATATCATAAACAAAATAAAGGAGAAAGGAAGGAGATGCATTCACAGCTCTGGATAATGGATGAATCCTTAAACAAATAAAGGATAGAGAGAATTCTAGGCACTATAATGGACAGCTTCAATTATATAAATTTAAATTTTTTTTGCACAAACAAAAACAATGTAGTTATAACTAGACGGGAAACAAGGAAATGGGAAAAATTGTTGCAACGAATTTCTCTGATTAAGGTCTGATATCCAGTATAGGCAATGAATTGATTCAAATATATACGAACAAAAGTCATTCCCCTATAAATAAATGGTCAAAGGATATGATTCTTCCAAAAAGAAAAGTAAGCTATCAATCATATGAGGAAAAAAATATTTCAAATCACTAGTAACAAGAGAAAAACCAACCAATAGAACTCTGAAATTCTATCTCACCGTCTTCAGATTGGCAAATATGAAAAAAAAAGGAAAATGACAACTAATTGTTGAGGCAAAGGGCTCTTTGGGGACAAGTATGGTAGTATACTGTTGATGGAGCTGGGAACCAGTCTATCCATTGTGGAAAGTTACTAAGCTGAGCAAACCTTTCAACTCAGCCATACTACTACTACACATATGCAACAAAGAGATCAAATAGAGACAAAAAGTTCCCTATAAACAAAAGTATTTATAGTAGGACTTTTTGTTATAGTTAGTAATGGAAATAAAGTGGGTGCCCATCATTGAGGAATAACTGAAAAAAAAATGTGGTATGTGATTATTATAAAATATTATTGTTCTATATGAAATCATGAAAAAGAAGATTTTAGAGAAACCTGAAAGGACTTGCATGAACTGACTTTGAGTAAAACGAGCAGAATCAAGTGAACAATTTACAAAATGAATATGACATTGTCATGTAAAACACCCCGTGAAGACTTAAGTCAGATCGATGCAATAACAAATCAACTCCAAAGGACTATGATTCATGTTTCCTGTTTGTTGACTGGGTGGGTGGCGATGGATTAGAGAAGCAGAATGAAATAAATATTTTCAGGCAGGACCAATATATGAATTTGGTTTCTTTGACATGAATTATTTGTCACAAAGAAGGGCTTCTTTTGTAGGAGGGGGGAGGTTGAAGGAAGTAGTGATAGTGATACCAAACAGTAAGAAGAAAAGGATGTCAGTGAAACATGAAAAAAATACATTGGAGAGAGCAGAAGGAAGTTCCAAAATAAAGGCAAGCAGGGCAATGCTGGGACTACTGTATTAAATTCTTTCTCTCTCGCTGTCTTTCTCTCTCTTCATAAATATATACATACATGTACACACACACACACACACACACACACACACACACACACACACGTATATATATCCAGGGTGTACATGACAGAGATTCATGGTCTGATATATAATCTTTTTTCCGTTCTTTGCATAAGGAAATGCTAATGTCTGTTGAATTTTTTTTCAAGTTAATTATGATTTAAAAGAATTTTTAAAAAGAAAAACTACACATCTGATCTAGGATTAATAAAATAAAAAATGGGATTAACAAAATAAAATTGTTTTGGAGCAAATACATTCATTCTAGATTTTAACCAGAAATTGAAATCAAGCTCACTGGGCTATAGTTTTAAAGGCTCATTTATTTTTTTTTTCTTTTCTTCCTTCCTTCCTTCCTTTGTTTTCTTTCTGAAAATAAGGGCAAATTTGATCTCTAATCATCTTTCACTTCTGCCATTTTCCACAATCATCTTAAAAGTTCATAGACATTGGCTCAACCTTCACATCTTCTAGTACTTCCAGAATCCTAGAATGTAATTGACGTGAACCAAGTGGCACAAATTCATGGGCGATAACTAGGCAGTCTCTTGCTCTTTTATACTTGTCTTGGGTATCATTTCCCTATTAGTCATTTTGTGTTCTGCCATTTTCAGTCCAAGGAATATTCTCATTGTCAGAGAAAGCAGAAACAAAATAATAAGACTTAGCAACTTCCACTTTTCCCATCCTGTATTATTTGTTTCCTAGCCACACTGAAGAGTGGCCCCCATCTCATGGAGCAAAAACAGACACAGAGAAACTTCTCCTCATTCTAGGCCTTAAGTTTTTCTCAACAGCCCTCACTCATTCTTATTAGCACTCTCTTGCATTGTACTTATTTGTATAATGTACCTTACCCTCCATTCCCTCCATGAAAATGTAAGCATTTTATGGGGAGGTACCATTGTTTTATTGTACAAGAATCACTTCTAGATGAAAATATAATAACATAAAAGCAATCATAATGCTTCAGCAATGTATTTAATATTTTACTATATGAAAATGCATTAATCACATATCCCATAAGCCTGCCTTAACATACCATATGGCAGGTTCCAGTAATAGCTATCAACTTGTAAGGTTAATACTAAGTGGGATGGGGGGAATTCACTGAAAATAATTGGGCTAGGTATTCTCCTTAAATGGTCAATGAATTAGGATTTTATTATCATTTTCCCGCTCCCCCCCACAAAGATGAATGTCACCAAGTCACAATGTAAAGCTCTGATTTTAGTTCACCTTTGGAAATCACTTGAGGAAAATCCTTGGCTTTCTTTAATCTCATAAAGATGAATTAGTGCCAACCAGGGATTCTGAGTCTGAAAAGGGCGGCTTAGTTCAAACGAAAAGCTCACCACTTATCGAATGAGTGGACTAGTGCTTAAGTATATATTATTTTCCAATGATTACCTCAATTCTGTTGAAGAGTAATATTTAATGTCATGGAAATGGTATCCAGACTACTACAATGATATAATAATTGCTCAAGAACTGGCATATCTCCTTTGAAGCAGGCAATTATCACACAAGTATATGTTTTTAACATCAAAATTCTGCTTGACTAGAATAAGTAATCCAGCCAAGGCCTTCAACACAGGTCCAGGGATTTGGTATTTGTTCCAAAGTTCTCTTTCATTTGAAAGAGCAAGCTTCATGGACAAGACCCGGTGCCATCTTGAGGTGGTGCAGTATTGAGGGAACCTGGAAAAATCCCCAATAAACCCTCCACTCAACATGCACATTTGGACAGATCTCTCATATTCTAAAGTCATCACTGAAATTCCAGATAAATTTAAATTCTGCGGAGGAAATATCATTCAAAAATTGTGTTTTCTTTTGTATTTTGCAGATTTTGTTAGATATCACAAAAGGGGTAGAGTAAGGCCCACATACTATATACAAAATACAACATATATAGTTAGCGCAATGCAATATAGACCTATAGATATGAATATGATATAACATATCACACTGGGCTGAGTATAAATTGATCCAGTATTCATAACCCAGGCTTTTTATGAAACCTAAAAATCTACCCAAAATGAGAAACTATATATTATATATATGTATTCTACACTTATATGTATATTTGTGCAAATATTCATGTTTTTATATGCATATCCTTTTTTAAAAAAAAAATCTGATTTTTAGGAAATTAGTTTAGGAAATCAGCAACGATCTGAAGCTTGAAATCTTAGAAAGTTGTCAAGGGCAGTGAGGACCCACTTCAAGGACTCACCCAGGGCCACACAGCCAGTTCTATCAAAGACAAAATTTGAACCCAAGTCTTTCCCATTCATCATTGGCCCCACTATTCACCACACCAGGCTGCCTCTGTGTGCATGGGTTTACATGTCTGCATCTATGTGATTTAAAAGTATTTTTGCAGAAAAAATTAACAGAACCATAAAATGGTAACCATTTCTATGTACGTGGGTTTTTTGTTGTTGTAGGTAAGGGAGATTATTTTCCAAATTATGTGCCACTGTTGAGTTAGGCCATGAAAAAAAAATTCTTCAGAGGAAGATGCTTAGGTTGAGGCCATGCCCCGAATGACAAGCAGCTGACATCTAGCAGTTGAGAAGCCCCAAACTCTCAATCCGTTATTGAAAACTGGAGCTTAACTAAGAGAAACATTAAAATGAAGGATACGGCTGCTCTACGTATCAGTCCTGATTGTCTAACTTACATAGAGATGGAGAATGGGTAGCTATGAACTTGAAAGGCTTCTTTTTAGTTGAAAAGCTGAAGATGTGGCTTTAGAAGCTTGAGAGTTAATATTTTGGAAGGTGTCATAAGCTTTAAACAGGATTCTTACCCCCTTCCAACACCAAGATAAGATAACAGGTCACTATGTTCCTTAGAGAATGCTCACAGACCAGCCTACAGTTCTTCTCCATACTACGTCTCTGGATTAACTCCAAGTAGACCCATCCACGTGAAAAGTTTGTCGATCTCTCTCCAACAGGAAAAAAAGGAGGGGGGAGAATGGGGAGTCGGAGTTTCTTTATTAGACTCAGGCTTGCTCAGCCTCTGATTTTCATCTTCACGCATCGAACAGCAGAGAGAGAGAGGCTGATTCAGAGTAGACGCCGTATCGGCTGGCCCAGACCCAGAAAGGAAGCACCCAGCTGTCTGGTACAGATATCGTTTATCCACAATGTTTTTGTCCGCTCTTTCTTGAAGCCTTAAGCAAAGAGCTCTGCTATACTTGTAATTCCAACCGAAGACAGATATGATCATTTTGGTCTTTGTCTATGCAGTTTACCTGAAAAAGAGTTTGTTACAGATTAGAATTATTATCGAGGAGGTGGGGAGGGCAAAGGAAGATTTTGCTCCTCACAGAAAAGTTTCTTCCCATCTCCATTCAGTAACTATACTACTTAATACTCTAAGATGCATAGTTCTAGGTTACTTGACTTTACTCGGCCCCAGGTTCCTCATCTATAAAATAAAGGGGTTGGATTAATAATAGCATCTCAGGTCTTTTTATAGCTTTAAATCTAGGATCTTATGAACAATCTAGGTCTGAATTTGATATCAATTATTAAATTACATTGGCTTCGGTAAATAAAGCACTCAAGCCCACTTGCTAATAGCATTGATATTCCTGTTTGATGAAGGGGAACAAAGCACTGAGACATTAACTTTAACTTCATATTTTCATTGTTGTTACAATTGCATATTCAGATCATTCTTTGTGTGATTTTTGAGACTGTAATACTGTAACAAAAAGGAATTTGATACAGGTTATTGGTTTATTTTTGTTTCATAACGATGGGGCTCTCTTGCATCTTTAGTAGCAGGGACAAGATGAGGGTGCATGTCCTGACCACGGTTATTTTAGCCTTTGCCGATTATCTCTTGGTAAGTTTCAGAGTTTTCAAATTTATTTAATTAAATAAAGTGTTTAAATTAATTTTTAATTAAATTAGTTTTTCTCAAATTGTTAAGAAAGGGGGAATGAAGGGGTGTGAGTGGCTCTCAACTTACACTGTTAGAAGTCAGGGAAAAAATAACAAAGACAGGATTACCAGCTCAGACATAGCTCAAAAAAGGGCAAATTTTGCCAAACAAAATTATCATTTCTTTTAAAAAATGAATTATATTGATCTTTGATTTTTCCATCACCAAAATTTCTCCCTGTATCTCTCCTTCAGGGAGTCATAGGAAAAATATTTTTATAAAAAAAGAAAAATAGAAGACAGAAGAAATAATAGAAAGAAAAACAGGAAAAGGGAGAGATTTCAGTAAATCTGGCCAATACATCACAAAAAAGTCTGAAGATACAGGCAATGTTCCACTTCAACAGGCCTCCCCTAACTGCTGAAGGGCGGAGTGGGACAGGATCTTCTCATGGGTCTCCCTGGGGGCCGCGCCTGTGTTTGGAATTTTGCAACATTCACTGCTGACTGTTTTGTGACGGTTCTCCCATTTACATTGTAATAGTCATTTTACAGCTGCCATCTCATTTATTTGTTTGTTTACGTAAAATTTGGCCCTGATGACTTCACTGAAGTGTTTCCACATCTCCTCCTTCCTCCTCCAGCACGGCAGTATTCTATTATACTCATGTACCACCATTGGCTTAGCCATTCCACAACGTGTGGGCATCTGCTTTGTTTCCAACAATTTGATGCCACAAAAAGTTCGCTATAAATATTTTGGTGTGTATGGGTTCCTAACAATGACCTTCCTAGGGCATATATCTAGTGGTGGAATCTCTAGGTCAAAGTGTATGAACATTTTAGTCATTTTATTTGCATAATTCTAATTTAATATTTATCATTTCTAACCTGAACTGCTCTGTACTCTGACTTTAACTTCTTTTAAATTCATATCTAAGAGAAGAGTAAATATTGCTAAGCTTTATGGCAAAGGAACACAAGGAAAGGGTGAAACGGGAAAGAATAACTTCATTGTTTATTTTGCAATTAATATAAGTTAAGAGAACTGTGCAATTTACAAAAAAAGCTACTCTGTGTGTGTGTGTGAGTGTGTGTGTGTATGTGTGTGTGTGTATGTGTGTGTGTATGTGTGTATGTGTGTGTGTAAGTGTGTGTGTGAGTGTGTGTGTAAGTGTGTGTGTATGTGTGTGTGTGTGTGTGTGTGTGTGTGTGTGTGTGTGTGTGTGT